TTGGCAATCTGCCCCAAATAACTAAATTTGCAGAGAAAGCATTGATCTTCCCAGGCTTTTAAATCTAGGGAACACCGTGAGTTTCCCTCAGGATAGATAGATGACCTAGTCTAGCACACCATAATCAAAGGTCCAAAAATAAACAGCATTTCTAGTCCCTTGACCACTATGGACCTCAGCCCAAATCCAAATGAGCTTTCCTGTTGCTTATCCTTTATAGTCTTACTAGGGAGAGTGGCCATTGGTGGGTTCATTTTACTTATATAATTTGAGTCATTTCATTACCTTAGGTTTCAAGGTTTTTCTTTTTTCCCCCAAGCATCATTTATGTTTAAGCTTTGTCTATTTTAGAGGCAATTAAACAAAGTTACTGCACATTTATTTATATTTATTAAAGTATTGGTTTAAACATTTTAAAATGTGGGCTTAAAACAAGCCTGACTCTAAAAGAATTAATACTGAATTTTATATATATATATATATTTGTGATTTTTATGGTCTTCTCACATGTTTCATTTTTTAGAATGTGAGTTTCTGTGTTTAAAAATAAAGTATGAAAGGGTCTTCAAAAATTTCATGGAAACTGCTTATTATGAAACAACTACACACCAATTTCAATTAATTCTACCTTTCCATGAACTTCCTGAAATCCAATCTAAGGACAGTTTTGCTTTACTAACAAAAATACCTGACTTTGGGTGATTTATTTAAAAAAATAAGGATTTATTTGCAAAGCTCAACAATTCTGGTGGCTGGAAAGTGCAAAAGCATCACAAAATGATTGGAGGCAGAAGTCTTAACAGAGTATAGTGGGGTCTATATCCATGAGTTTCTTTATGCTGCTTATAGACTGTCCTGAACTCAATCATGGAAGCCCTGCTCTAATGACATCTCATCCAAATTCCTGTGAAGGAATGAAATTTTCACTTAACACTTTTACAATGCACCCAAGTCCCAAACACGAGCTTTTGGGGGGCATCCAATCATTACCCACTAAGACCAAAATCCAAAACAGAACCGCTGGGAAACAAACTATCATCCAAACCACATCAAGTCCCCTCATATTAAAATCTATTTCTAAGATATTTATATAGAAGAAATTCTTTTATAATTGGATTTTTAAACAAATAACAGATTTATGTCTTGGAAATGATCTAGGTTAGAGGTTAGCAAATTTTTTTTGTGTGTGTAAAGGGTCTAATAGTATTTTTAGCTTTTGGATGCGATATAATCTCTGTTGCATCTACTAACCTGTTTTTTTTTTTTTATTTGTTTGTTTGTTGGAGAGGTTTTTGCTATAGGGTGTGAGTGCTCATCAGAGAGAGACAGAGAGATAGAAAGCAAGAAATCATCTACCGGGGGGATGGCCACACCACAATCCCTTCTCCTCCATTCTTCTCTTGGGATCTTGGGCATGCACGCACACGCACACGGCATGAGTTTTAAGCCACTGGATCCGGGACTTGAACCGTGGTCGACTACGTGGGACTCCAGCGACATAGCCATTACGCTAACTGCTGGTCTCTAACCTGTTGTTCTAATGCAAAATAGTCAAAGACAATACATAAACGAATGAATGTAACTATATTCCAAGGAAACAATTCACAAAAACATGTGACAGACTAAATTTGGTTATGGGCCATAGTGTGTCAACCCCTGTTATTAATTTATCTGTGATAATAGTAAGTCATAAAGGGATGTGTCTATCCCAGCACACCCAAATAAAGAAATAGCAGGGTAAAATTGAATAGTAGTGTTTGAGTCCTAGTCTGTGTTTGTGCCACAAAACCATTTGGTATAGCAGGGCTACCCTGTGTCCTTTCTCCACATCAGAGCAATGTACACATCTCTGATTTTATTCCTCCAGCTGTCCCTGCAGCAGACAATGTGAGGTAGGGGTTCCCAGTGTGTCCTTTCTGATAGTCTAGCCAAGTGGTTATAAAATATCTCCTTTTAGATGATGAATAGCCAATAGTGAGTTTCTTATACTTATCTCACTTGAATTGCTTCATTTTCTCAGGTCTTAAGAAAACCCATTTGTTTGTTCATTTTTTTTTTTTTTTCCAAGCATCATTTACCTTTAAGCTTTTTCTATTTTAGAGGCAATTAAACTAATACAATGCAAATCAATTTATATTTTTTAAAGTATTGCTTTGAAAAGTTCAAGTTAAGTGTTTGTGAGAGAATAAAGAAATCGACATCTAAAATGCTAAGTTTTTCTATTTACGAGTGTCGTGGGCTGTATCAGGACACCATTCTCAAGAGGCATTTTTGATTCTCGAACTGATGCAGAGAAAAGCTATTCCAAGGACACAGATGGCACAGGTCTCCTGCCTAAACATTTCTCATATGCGTTCTGTAATTGTGCAGGGTTCCAGGAGAAGTGAGGATGATCTAAATCAAATGCTCCCACAGAAGAGAAAGACCCAAAGTTTATGTTCTTGAGATAAAAAACATTTATTTTGCTCTGTGAAGAACACATTTTTAAGTCGTTAATTTCAGAACAAAAACAGTCAACCATACCTTTTTGCTTCTTGTGAATTTCACCTCTTCAGGAAATCCATAAATTAGTGAAGTATTATATATGTATGTACTTTAAGAGTATCTTGAACAAAGTTATGTTGAAATTATTCAGCTCACCTTTGTCCTACTTAGCAGGCTATTGATTATTACATTATGTATCATCTTACCATTTCATCTTGAGATTTAATTGGTTTTATACCATATATACTGTTTAGTCTCTGAATCTGTCATAAGCCAGACTACCCATATCTTCCAGTTAAATAAAAGCGTACCACTGCCTTTTAGCAAGGTGACAAAGTTGAGGTCTGAATTCATGAAACTCTTATGGTAAAGCACTTGAAAGTTGGTAGGAGTTTGGTTAGCATGCCAAACAAGAGACCTATTGTATCTTCTTATCAATATATTTTTGAGTTCTTGGGTTTAGGAAGGACAGAGACTCTCTTAGACCATCTTATTTGTGTGTGGTGGGGGTACGGTGTTGGGAAGAGGGTTATTATTGGGATACATGTATCCTGCAGCACACCTGGTCATACTAGGATTTGAGGCAGTGCTAGAGACCTGCCACTCTCTTGGTTTCTCTTTCATGGTCTTCCTGGCCCTCTGATTTCACATTTGCTGTTCTCTTATTCCCTTATTACCAAGTAGTGAGTTTTCTTTGAATTTTCCACCCCGAATTAAATAGGAGGCAGTTTTCTAGATTTTTTTTTTTTTTTTGGAGAAGTTTTTGCTATAGGGCGCGTGCGCTCACCAGACAAACAGAGAGAGACATAGAGACAGAAAGCGAGAAATCACCCCCCAGGGGGGATGGTCACGCCGCAATCCCTTCTCCTCCATTCTCCTCTCAGGATCTTGGGCATGCACGCACACGCACCTGGCGTGAGTTTTAAGCCACCGGGTCCGGGACGCGAACCCCGGTCGACTACATGGGAGTCCAGCGACATAGCCATTACGCTAACTGCTGGTTCCCAGTTTTCTAGATTTTTTAAATTAGCACTTACTCACTGAGATAAGCTTTTCTACTAAGATGCCTAATATGTCACCAGGAAGATTTTGGATGGACCAACCTAGCACAGATGCCCGTTTTGGCCCTATTGGTAGCCACTCTGTACAAACAACAGCCTGGTACTGCCCTGAGAATGACATCATGATCTAGGCTATAGTGATTGGACATTGAGTTGAACAATTTCTTCCATTATTGTTATATTTCTTTTTTTCTTTGGAGAGGTTTTTGCTATAGGGCATGTGTGCTCACCAGAAAGACAGAGAGAGACAGAGAGACAGAAAGCGAGAAATCACCCCCCAGGGGGGATGGTCACGCCGCAATCCCTTCTCTTCAAATCTCCTCTTGGGATCTTGGGCATGAACACACATGTGCCCAGTGTGAGTTTAAGCCACCAAGTCTGGTACTCGAACCGCGGTTGACTATATGGGAGTCCAGCAACATAGCTATTATGCCATTTGCTGGTCTCTCTCCCCCTTTTTTTATAGAGAGATTCTTGACTATAGGGTGTGTGTGCTCACCAAAGACACAGAGACATAGAAGTGAGAAATCACTTCCTGGGGTATTGGCCACACCAGTTCTTTCTCTTCAAATCTCCTCTTGGGATCTTGGACATGCATGCACACCCGCCCAGCTGGAATATGAAGTCTCTGGATCCAGGACTCAAACTGCAGTTGACTACATTGGGAGTCCAATGACATAACTATTACGCCATCTGCTGATTCCTTATATTTCTTTTATATTTATTTTATTATTAAAGTAATTCACACTTTTGGTAACAAAATTTTAAATATACAACTTAAAAAATAAAATTAAAGCAGCAATCCATTGCTCACATATAAGTTGTTAATATATTGCTGATTACTTTCTTGTCTTTTCTTGATGCATAGTTTTATTTCAAGTTGATTAAAATAAAGATTGTATAAGTTTGGTTTTTTTTTAACGTTAGAGCATAGCTTTTGCTCATTGAAATTAATTTTACCCAAATAATTGTAATTAGCTGCAATATATATTGTAGTATAGATATACTATGTTTTACTTAACCAATGTTGGGTGATTTCATCATTGCTTATTAACATTTCACATTACTTGTTAAGACAAATTCCCCGTATGACACTTACAAGGTCAGAAAAAATGAGATTTTAAAAAAGTTTTTCATATGTATCATTGAATTCTTTTTTCTAAAAGGTTGCTACAGTTTTACTGCAGAGTATAAAGCATGTCTGTAGTTTTTATTTTTGTTTGCAGTATATCAAAAAACATGTCTTGCAATATTTTCACTTTAAGATGAGTCTTGCTATCTTAAAAAGAGTTCTTTCTTATTAATTCACTTACCTTTGATTGTGTATTATTTGAATTACTCTGCTATTGCTGAAGAAAAATGGTTGAGAGTCCAGTCGTGTCAATGTAGAAGCACTTGCTTATCAATTGTCACCACCTAAGTTGCTAATCCCATGAACGTCTATTTCTCCTGCAGCCGTCATACACCGAATTTGACATCAGTGGCAACGTCCTCGCTCTGATCTTCAACCAAGGCATGATCTGGTAGGCCAGGGGGCAAACAGCATAAAGCAGTGTAGCTTAGGGTCAGAGGAGACCACAGTCTGTGTCTGATTCAATATATGACTTCGCAAAGTAGCTGGGTGTGAATAGGGTTCATGTCTTAAAACTTTATCCTCAAAAGCATCTTTCTGTTTTACAGAGCATCTTTGATTAAATGAAGTGAGTCTCTGTTCTCGTTGGTGGATTTATTTGAAGACTATTTATAGTTTTATATCCTGTGACACTAGGATCTAATAGTGAAACATTAATGATCATATTACCACATATTAAATATAAAATTGATTAACATAGGACTTTTTTAAGAAACCAATTTTATTTTCTCATCACTACAAATATATTAAAAATACAACTTATAGCTACTTTTAAAAAGAATATCTTACCAAATCCAAAAATTTATAGAGATGAAACATATTTTAGGAAGATCAAGGTAAAAATATGATCTTCATTTTGTAAACTCTTTCATAGGGCCATTTGCACATTGAAGTTATTTTTTCTGATGTGGAAAGAATTGTCATACCTTTTATTCAATGGAAAGCATTCTCATTGTAGACTCTGACAGGTTAAGATGAGTTGATACAGTAGAAATCACTTTTGGATTTAAAAATAGAATCTCAGCATGCAATTTGTCTGGGGACCATGTGTCATGAAACCTGTCACTCTTATTTAAGAGTGCTCCAACACAGTCATTTACAACTAAGTCACTTTATCCTGTAGACATGCACCTAATACGATAGTGTGCAGTCCACCACAGCATTGTCCTACCCACAAGTACCAGTAAAACTTTGGTTTTAGAACAAGCTTTATATATTCCTCAAATCTTTCCACCATAGCTGGCCTGAGCTGACACAATCTGGACCCTCCCCCCCAACCCCCAACCCCCGCAAATGTTAAAACTACCTTGTTTCAGGGGACCAGCAGTTAGCATAATGGCTATGTCGCTGGACTCCCATGTAGTCGACCATGGTTTGTGTCCTGGACCCAGTGGCTTGAACTCATGCTGGGCGTGTGTGCATGCATGTCCAACATCCCAAAGGAGAATGAAGGAGAAAGGATTGCGACACGGCCATCCCCCCGGGGGAGTGATTTCTCCCTTTCTGTCTCTCTGTCTCTCTCTGTCTTTCTGGCGAGTGCATGCACCTTACAACAAAAAACTCTCAAAAAGACAAACAAACAAACAAACAAAAAAACTACCTTGTTTCAGTAACACAAATACACCAAGGGGTCCCATCGTTTTACCACAGAGCCTGTGACCTTCCTGTGCCTCACTAGGTGAATAAATATGAAGAACATACTATAAAAAGATGATTTTTCCTATTACCAAGTATGTTTTTAAATATAATCCTTGTTTCCCAGCTTTCTAAATTTTGCAAGTATGACTCGAATGTCCTCGAATCATTAGGGGATGAAATGCATCCTTTATTCTCCAAGCAGGGACAGTCAAGACGGCCCAAGAAGCTGCTACTGATAGAGACAGTAAAGAGAGCAGCTTCTTGGGGTCCTGATCTTTCATTTCCTGAAGGGCAATTGGTTGCCATGGCAGAAAGAGGCTAGCAGGGCCAGTGGAGTAATGAGAAACCGCTGAAGTCCTCAGGCCTGGTGCTGCCATTCTTGCACACATATGCTGCGTGTCTAGTGTGTCCTTTTAGAGCTTAGATAGCAGATTGGCCTGAAATTCATTTTCATTGTCCAAAAAGATGTTGTAATTGCTGTCCTGATTGGTTTCACTTAGAATCTTCCAACGATTTAGTCTACTACGGCTCCTGTTTAAAATATACAAAATCTAAACATCTTCCTCAGTTCTCATATGGGCAGATCCTCTGTCAAAAGCTCTGCATTATCACTGTACTGTCACTTCCTTTGTATTCATTCTTCTGCCAATGGTGAAGCTTGCTTCTGGTCAGTTTAAAGAGAACTTTAGAAAGTGGTTGCATTTTTTGCACGGACTAAGATATTCACACACTTTCTAGAGTTCCAGAAGCAAAATAACAGTAGACTGCTATTCACCTTCAAGTCCACCCCCTGTATAAAAACTCTTCCTCACTCCCAGGGGATTGGTGAGAAAGTGGGAATACGGTGTTTGGAGGAATTATGAGGAAAGCGTAAAGTAAAACTAGTACATTATGTACAAGGGTACCCCCACACAGTAATCCCAATATTTTATGAAGCATGAAGATCTGATGTCTGAGTTTACCCATTTTCTATAAAAGCAATCAAAGTGGTATGGACATTTTGTATTCAATTCTATTGGTTTATGACAGGAGACATTCAATGATTGCTTTAGAACTTACTGAATGGTGGAGGTTATTTATGCAGATCTTAATAGAGTCAACATGTAATTAAAATCCATTTTGTGGGCCAGTGGGTGGAATGGTGTTTAAGATGCTGGATCTCACAGGGCCAATTTCACAGTTCGAGTCCCAGATCCAGCAGCTTAAAAATCACACTGAGCATGTGTGTGTGTGTGTGTGTGTGTGTGTGCGTGTGTGCGTTTGTGTGTGCCAAAATCCTGAAAGGAGAATAAAGGAAAAAGATCTAAAGCGTGGCCACCCCCTGGAGGGTGATTTATTACTTTCCTTCACTCTTTCTCTCTCTGTTGTGTCTGTCTTTCTCTGGTGAATGTACATGACCTATAGCACAAATATATGTATATATATATATATGTACATATATATATATATATGTTTGTGTATATACATACATATATTACTTTGTTATAATTTTGCTAAATGATCAGTAAATCTTTAATAAAACACTTAGTTTTGAAATAGATATCACAGGTTTTTATAGTTTTTAAATGAAAGCACATAATATTTTTATCATAGCAGAATGTCGAGGGGAGGCAAGGAACATATAGCAAGGGAGAAAATAAGTTTTGGACATCGCTGTAACACTCTCTCATTGGCTACCTTCCCCCTGGTCTTCACCTTTTCCCTTCATTTTCTCAGTTGATCAGATGTGACTAATTTGCCTGACATGTACATGTCACTAAAGTAGTAAGGAGAGTTAAATAAAAGAAGCTTCATTTGCTTTGATCTTTTTGGAAGGAAAGCATTATTTAAGGCTAGGATATTACAATGGTTTTTAACTGACAGATGATGGGATCAAGTCCGGGGAAGGGACTTAGTAAGCCGAGCTGATTACTGAGTCCTGAGCAAAGACAGGGCGAGCACTAAGATTTAGACATCATTGTGCACTGTGCCAGCACCTGTTTTTCTAGGTTATGACTCTTGAGTCATGTGTTTAAAATATCTATGTGATTTTTTTGAAATTTAGTAATCTATAGATGCTTGTACAAATAATATGAGTATTCATATATATTCATATATACATGCAGACACACAAGCATATATATGCACACACATAGTACAAATATATGTGGTTTTAGGCAAGCCTATGTTTTTAATTATGTGGAAAATTACATTTCAAAGTCAATTAGATTATGCAGCAATGAATCATAATCCCCAAATCTTAGTGCCTTACAAATAGAACATGACTAGTGTGGGCTGGTGGAAAACTTACCTTCATGGGCCAGCCAGTGGCGTAGCAGTTAAGGCGGCTGGATCCCACATGGCCAACCATGCAATGGCCAACCATTCCATAGCCTATTGTACTGGACCAATGACTTGATGTGTGCTTGAAATGGAGGAGAAGGGATTCAGTGTGACTATCCCTCTTGGAGGTGTTTTCTCACTTTCTCTCTCTTTCTGTCTCTCTCTGTCTCTGGTGAGTGCACATGCCCACTAGCAAAATTAAAAAGACAAAAAATCCTTACCTTCACTTTAGAGACCCAGAATCCATCTGGAACGTTGCTGATCACAGTAGCAGATAAATTCATATTATTTTGGTCAAAACAAGTTATATGCCAGGCCTGACTTTTAGAAGAGGATGAGCATAATTATCCAAAAGCATATTATATCACAAGTATTGATATTTTGGAATATAGGCTCTGCTTTGTAATTCTGAGCCATCAACCGGGACTATCACTCACTCACTTTCCCATTATTTTGATCTCAAGTTCTCTCTTGCTTTTCTATATTGTTCCAAATTATATCCTCTGTGAGGGGCTGGGGGGGGGGCGTTTACCTACAAAGTCTCTGGTCAATTTAGTATAATAAAATATCATTCAAATCTGTTATGTCATTCTATGAACAACACAAGTCAAATTATGGCAAGATTCTACTTTTCAAAGGAATAGATTAATTTGTATAGGAATAAGTTCCATTAGAGAAGAAACTAATTTCCTTTTATAACTCAGAAAGGCCCCATACTATATCAAATTCACATTCAGTTGGTTTAAACAACTACAATAGCAATCCAGGAAGTATAAAATGCTAAACCTAACTAGAAATGCTGAGAAATTTATTATAGTTAAAACAGTTTAAAAAATAGAATTTTGCTCATTTTGCTTAATTTTGTAAAATAAGTACTTAGGTACCTTTTGGTTTTGTTTTGGACTAACTGCTATTCAGTTGCTTTATGAGTGCTAATGGATTTTCTCATCAAAGAAAATTAAAATATTTTGTTGAAATCCTCAGTCAAGCTATCTAGTAATACTGACCTCATCTAAGTGGTTCTCACGTAAAAGTGGCATTTTCAAATATTTTTAAAAAGTCATGTACACAGAGTGGAGTACTCTCAGGACAACCAAAATAAGAAAGTAAGCAGATAAAATAAATCTAAAGGGATGTGTGCAGTTTCCTCTCTAAAACCACATAAAGCTCTTTATAAATGATTAGCAAAACATAACATCTAATTGAGCATTAATAATTGTAATTGGACACTAATGTATAATTTCAGTTAGTTCTAAGACATTAGAGCAGCTAAAAAGAGAAAATAACATCAGATACAAATTTTAGCTAATTTTTTTTGCCTTTCATTGAGCAAAAATTAACCACTCATGACAAAAGTGATTAATCCAAATGTGCAATTTATTTGAATAGAATGAGTAGTTTTAAGGGTCAGTATTTTTTTTTAAAAGTTATGTTTTTAAATACATTAGTCAGTGATAGCAGTGTTGTGGAAATTAAGTTTATTTTAGAATTAGAAGAAGTAAAACAATTGTAATACATTGTTTACTCTATTGTCGTTTAAAGTTACCGATAGTTTAGTTAACAGCATAATTTCTATGAAAGAATTAGGGATACAATACCTACAATAAGGCGAATGGTAAAATATGTGTAGAAGGTGGAAATAAATTTGTTAGGTTTATTTCTAAATAGGGTTTGTGCGATTCAAAGTGGCAATTCTTTCAGCCTTGTGAAAAACAGCCTGATGTGAAATTAACAGATTGTTTGACTTTGTTATGGAGTGAAGACTTGATATTGAATAGAGCTCTATTTTTTTTCTTTCTTTGTTTCTAGGATGGGCTCCTTCTTTGCTCCTAGCCTCCCAGGCATCAACATCCTCCGACTCCACACATCCATGTACTTCCAGTGCTGGGCTGTGATGTGTTGCAACGTTCCTGAAGCCAGGGTCTTCAAAGCTTCCAGATCAAATAATTTCTACCTGGGCATGCTCCTGCTTATCCTCTTCCTGTCCACCATGCCAGTCTTATACATGATCGTGTCTCTCCCACCATCATTTGACTGTGGCCCCTTCAGGTTACTTGTTTTTAAAATTCAACTTGGGCAGAAGGTTCTTTCCAGGGTAGAGGTGGGATTGGCTGCTCACCTCCCGCCAATAATGGCATGTTAAATCAAATGAGATCCTTTTGATATTCAGACTCATTATGTGACCTGGAGATTCTTAGGCAACTTTCATCTATTTTCTTGTTTGGCATTCATAAAAGGAAAAGTAATTTATTCTGTTCCAGGCTCTGCCTGACTAAACTATGAATGATAAGTGTTTGCATATTTGATCACTAAGGGTAAGGTTCATTCGCACTAATCTGGATGTGAGCGTTTTCCTGATGTCAGGCCGTCATATCCAGATGTAGTCAGCTATGGCTACTTCTCATGTGGACCAACAGCAGGAAAAAAAAAAAAGAGTAAAAAGGAGATTGATCCACATGTTTCCTAGAAAGTGGAATCATTATTAAACAATAATGAGTATAAAGAAGGTCATGACATATAATCTGTGATCCAAAATGCTATGTGCTAGTAACAAAGCTAAGAATTTTCCTCATATCTATTCTTCCCAGGTACTGCTTGAGTCAGGAATAGAGTCAGGAAAGCTCTTTGATTCAGGTTGGACACATTTCCCTACGGGTCTCTGTGACAGAATTCTCCCTAGCATGGTACCAGGAAGCAAGGTCCCTGGGAGCTGGAGGATGGTTCTTCATTCCCTAAAGGACCTAGAAATGAATCTATCTCAAATCTACCCAAGAATCTCCATATGCTGTCATTGGACAGTGTGCATTAAGGAAATGAAAATGTGAAAAAAACCTGTGGATGACAAGCATGATGCTATAACGGCCATGTACAGTTTCTCCTTTATGGTGTCAAACCCCAGTTCAAAAGTTTTGTTGGGAACCAGCAGTTAGCGTAATGGCTATGTCGCTGGACTCCCACGTAGTCAACCGCAGTTCGCGTCCTGGACCCGGTGGCTTAAAACTCACGCCGGGCGCATGTGCGTGCGTGCCCAAGATCCCAAAAGGAGAATGGAGGAGAAGGGATTGCGGCGTGACCATCCCCCCGGGGGGTGATTTCTCGCTTTCTGTCTCTATGTCTCTCTCTGTCTGTCTGGTGAGCGCACACGCCCTACAGTGAAAATCTCTCCAAAAAAAAAAAAAAGTTTTGTTGCCCACAGATTAAGTATGAAAGAGGCATTTGAACTCTAATGGTCTGAGTTATTGCTTTGTAGGAAAAGAAAGAAAGAAAATATGTTAAATCAGCTGATAGAGCAAAACTAGCTGGAGGTCTGTCATATTCCGGAAATTGATGCTGACAAGCCCTGAGCATTTCAGCATGTGTTTATGTGTGTGCTATGCACATGCATGCATGTGCCTATGGCTGTGCCTGTGCCTGTGCGTGTGCGTGTGTGTGTGTGTGTGTGTGTGTGTGTGTTTCCAAGTGGGCTGAAATAAATAATGCAGACAGTGACATCTGGAGACTAAATATGAAATTACAGTCTTGAAGGAGACATTGGTTTTAATAAATCCTTAATCTGTCTCAGAGCACAACGTTCAAGAGATATGCCATTCAAAGACTTTAGTTAATTGCAAGTGTCCCACACGACTTAATCCAGATAAATTTTAGGTGCACTTTTAATTTTTTAATTAGATGTTGTTCCTTCTCAATAAAATGTAGCAAAGGATCTTAACTGTCTCCAAAGGAAACAAACTATACAATGTAAAGGCCAATCTGGTTGGTGGTTACATAGCTGCATTCAGATTTAAAATATCATTGAGTTAGATATGTGCAATGATTACGCAGTTTTAGCCCTTCAAGCCTTAACTCCTATGGCTTTCCTAATGTCACCCACTGAGTTACTTTGACTCATACTGAAAATTTAGTGTGTAGTTAAGGTTAATATCTGACTTTGAGCAAAGGTTTCCTAGTTGGCAACCTTAGACAAAATTATTGCATGTGTGTAACTATATAGAATTTAAAGAAATTTAAGTATTTTCAGTGAAGAAGTGGGGCGGGGGTTCTCTATACTATTTAGATCATTCATTTTCTGTCAATTTCTTCATTCTTGAGCAAAAGAATATACACTTTGCTTATTTGTTTGGACTTCAAAGTTTGAAAGGGTGGTTGTAATTTAGAAATGAGATGGGAAAACATGGGTTAGTGGGACCCTCATGGCTGGCCATCCTGGGGAACACTGAGTTTTAAATGGTTCTCCTAGCCAGTCTACTGAATGTTGCCTGACCCTATCTGGGTGGGCTCAAATTGGCAAACATGAATCTGAGGAAGGTTAACGGAGGTATCTAGTGATGGCCTGTTGTCCACAAGTGCAGGTATGGATGCAGGTCAGATGGCTATAGTACACTTATCCATTCAACCAGGTTTTGCTTTTACAAGACCAAGATGGGGCAAATGAATTTTTCAGGAAGTTATTCCAGTAGGTTAGTAAGTGGATTTACTCTAAATAGCTGGAAAATTTGAAAACTATTTCTTTGATGTCAGAAGACAGTTCTTATTATCCCACCATGTGTCCCAACACTTAAAGTTTCTTCCCATTGTGCGGTAAATCTGAACAATTTGAAGAATTCTAGAGTCTCATACATTTTTTTTGTTAAGAAATGATAATTGTCTTTATGACAATTTTATTTTTAATCTGTTTTTAGATAGTTTTTAGATGCTTTTAGATAGTTTATTTTCTGTCAATTTCCTCATTGTGGAGCAAAAGAATTTTACTATAAAAATAATGTGCATCAAAACTAGAATACCTGAAAACTGTATAAATATTTTAACATGAAAACAAATATTGCCCATAACCCATAAGGCTTGAAATAACACATCTCAATATTTTGACATTCTGGGGTTTTTTGTTTGTTCATTTAATTTTTGTTTTTAATTTGTCAGAGGGTATGTGTGCTCATCGGAACAAAAAAGAGAGAAAGGGAGAGAGAAGAAGGTGAGAAAGCATCTCCTCTAGGAAATGGTCACACGGTAATCCCGTCTCCATTTTTCCTTTCTTTTGGGATTGTAGGCATGCACACACATTCACTCAACATGTTCTTCAAGCTGCCAGGAACAGAATTCACACAATATGGGAGGAATCAAGCCACCTTGATCACCAGGCCATGGGCTGGCACCTTGGTTTTTCTTTTATGCAGAGTTGTGTTTTCTTTTCTTCTTTTCTTTTCTTTTTTAAAAATAATTATTTATTTTATTTTATTTATTCATTCATTTATTTTTTAATTTGACCAGAGAGAGACAGAGGGTGAGAGTGAGAGAGAAAGGAAATGAGAAAGCAAGCCACCAGATTCAGGACTTGAACTCTGGTCGGCCACGTGGGAATGTCCAGTGCCTTAACCACCACGCCACCTGCTGATCCCTCTTATCTTTTTTTTTTTTCATTTTTGGCAGAGGGTACACGAACTTCCTGAGGAAAGAGAGAGATGGTCACACCGCAGTTCCTTCTCTATTTCTTTTGGGATTTGGGGCATGCACACACATGTTTTTTTCAAGCTACCAGGATCTGAGACTCAAACTACATAGGCAGCCATGTGGGATCCATCTGTCTCAGCTACATGCAGTGGACTGGTCCTATGCAGAGTTTTTAAATAATTGAAATAATATAATATATGAAGTACAGATTTATATATGAGGTCTTCAAAAGGTCATGGAATATACAATTTTATGACTAAAACTAAGCATGGATTTCCATTTGTTTTGTACCAAAATAAGATAATACTTTAATTATATATCTATATGAACTTTTTAAAGGCCTCTCACAAAGGTATAAATGTTAACATTATCTTGTGACACTATGATGACCTTACTCATTTACCATCATACTTTATTTTTGTTAGAAGTCTGGCTGACTTTTAGATGTTTTCATCTCCATGAGCCCAGGACACGGTTGTGTGCTGGTCAGTAATTAGAATTAAAGAATGAATAATGACTGCTTGCTATCTCTGAGCACTAGAAGACATGTAGGGGTAAATCCATGCCCTCAGCATAGATCCTGGGCCTGCGGAGCTTTCAGTCCAGAGAGAAGACAGGCTCCTCATAGCTGTGCTAATCTAGTGTCGATGCAGCCATTTCCACAGGAGCGCAGTTAGATCAGTGCAGTCATATATCACCTGACTGGTCAGTCACCGACAGCGCGAAAGGACTTCTGGGAATATTGTGACATGGTGCACTTTGGCTAACCTGGCAGGAGAAAAGATGGCCCGGGTTTTATAGGTGCTTCTATCAGTTGTGTATGATTAAGAGACCTGCAAAAAAGGTATGAGATCTGACTTAGCAAAGATATCCAAACATCCCCAGAGACGCTAGTGATGCACTGGGTCACACTAAAACTAAGACCTTCCTGGGTGAGGATAATTTTATAAAACTCTGGTTCCCCCAGTGCTGACCACGTTTGTCAGCTACAACCTGAGATGCTGGAGAAGGAAAGATGGATTTTCTTATCTTCTCTGGTCCTTCTTGTCCTGTTTCTTACCTGGTATTCCATATGCCCAGGGGAAGAGGAAGTGTGGTAAATTAGAATGGAGTGAAGAAGAAGAAAGCTTATAGAAATAAATTGATATCTTAAATTGTCTGTAAGCTTTGTTCCCCTTTATGTAGCATTAGCAATTTGTGTGTAGAGCTTTAATTCATGAAGAAAAATTTGTACCTCTGTAGTCCAAGGAACCCTGACAAAATACTTGGAGACACTATTTATTTGTAAAAAGTTAGTATTAATTTAGATGAGGAGAAAAATAATCTGATCTGGATTGCATAGGTCATGTCTATTTAATAGTCTAAAATATTTGAAGAGTGAAAAACAGAAGCAAGACCAAACACTATATTAAATGTTTTACCTATTTATATTATTTTTAAAAAGTATTTATTTAATTACATTTATTATTATTATTATTATTATTTTAATTTGGCTACAGAAAAAAGAGAGAGAAGGAAAGTGAGAAAGCAAGCCCCCAGTTCCGGGACCGAACCACAGCCCGTCATGTACCTTAACCACCACACCACCTGTGGGCCCTGCACCAGTTGTTATTTCGATGATACATACAATTTGATGAAACACACCTCAAATTTTTTTCTGAAAGTTAGATCTTTTCGTAGTAGAATTGGTGTGCATATGGAGGATAATTTGGCATCATGCACCTTATGGTGTAATTCTGGATTTGCTATACTAAGTGATGAAATCTGCTCTTGGTTTTCTAGTTTACTGGAGCCGATTCTCACCTTAACGTGTGAGAGAGGTCTTACCAGAGCACTCTGCTGGTATTTATTAGGGTCTGTCCAGGAGAAGAAACATTGAGGGGGGAAAGCTCATGGTTCAGTGTGGACACCTATTAACATCTCTGCTAAAGAGGGCTGGTGGGAAATGAGATGAAAGCTATTGCTTGGAGAGGAATATTAGGCTATTTGTGGATTTTATTTCACTAGGGTATTCCTTATGCTTATTTCCAAAGCTAATTAAAGATTAAGTCACTGTTGACTGATCGCAAAGACAGCATTGCTCTATAAGAACAACTGGCTGAGGGACAGATGTGTATGCTATTTACAAAATATAATTCAATCACAGACTTAGAAATACAGTTTAAAAAATCTTCTCCTGGGCCAGCAGGTGGCGTGGTGATTACAGAGCTGGACTCCCACATAGCCAAGTGCAGGTTGAGTCAGGAACCTGGCAGTTTTCTTTCTTTCTCTCTCTCTTTCTTTCTCTCTTTCTCTCTCTCTCTCCAGTGAGTGTGCTTTCCCTATGGCAAAGTAAAAAATAATAATAATGATAAATAAAATTAGTTAATAATTAGTTCTTAAAAAATAAAAAAAATCTCTAATGTTGCGATTGATGTCTTAACTACTTGGACTCTGCTTGTGTTGGGGTAATATTTTTCATATCTTAAGCATGTGTTGACAGGAGGAGGTTAAGTATCAGGAGCTGTGGCTAAACATCAGAGCCTAACCTGAAAGAGTACATAGGCACTCTTTGAGAGAAGTTTCTAGTTTTTTTATTGTAACCATGGGTTTTCCATGTGTTTTTAGTAACTTCTTTACCTATTTATTTCT